AAAATAGCATTTATTTTACCAATATTTTCAGTTGGCTGAACGCTTGACGTTATGTGACGCTGAGGTTTTTGTTGACACACTTTAAAATGTTTTAATACTTTGATAAAGGTGGCTTTCATCCAACTGAAATATTGGTAAAATAAATGATATTTTGATTCAATATATGCCTTTTTAATTAAATAAATAAATAAAGTGTAATGTAATAAGAATGGTATACAGTTAAACCTATAAATAGCGCTCCCTCTAAATAGCGCCCGATTTTAAACATTAAAATGTAAACATTTTACATTAAAAGTGGCCTGTCTATAGCACCTTATTTTAGTGAGTCCCAAGAGGGGGCGCTATAGACAGGTTTAACTGTATATGTTATCCGGGGAGAATATTCTAATTAAAATGTTTAATTTTACGCTTAGCTGCAAAACAAATTATTTTTCACTTCATAATATGAAATAATATCACCTAGTTAATTAGATTTGTGGCTATCTTATAACTTGAATAATTATCCTACTGCGTAACATCTTTTTTTTTTTCTAATATTGAAACAATAAACTTATATACCTCAAAATATTTTTTTTTTCTGGGGAAGAGAAGCGCACGCCTAAAAACATGTATACAGTCTAATGGTTCTTGTCAGTTCATGATAGACTTAGAATTCATGTCATTCACAAGGAATCCAATTAATTTGTTCAGCATTTCTCTAAGAGGCGTTTAACTGGTAAAGTGGATAGGCCAATTCTAAACCCATAATATTGATGGAAATTTGCCAGTAGGATATTGATCTATAAGAAAGAACGAACCTGTGCGGGGAGACCCCATTGGATTTCGAGTCCAACGCCTTAACCACTCGGCCACGACTGCATAATATTTGAAGGAATGAAATATTTGTAAACGCAACATTTGACAATAAATGCTCGAAAACTGTGAACATATTTGATTGGTGGTTTTTTCCATTTTAAACAAAATTGTTGGCTCCCCCATTTGAATGTCTTGGATAACTTTGGTAATAAATATTGATCTTTAAGCTCTCATTGAAATTATAAAATGTCCAAAGTAATATTGAAGAACAACAAACCGAACACAACCTAACAGTGAAGGGACAAAGAACCTTTATTTGTTTCTTCACTCTTGACATTTTGAAATATTAATGAGAGCTTAAAGGTTAATATTTAGTACCAAAGTTATCCAAGTCATTCAAAATGGGGAGCCAACAATTTTGTTTAAAATGGAACAACCACCAAGCAAATATGCTAACAGTTTTCGAGTATTCATTGCCAAATGTTGCATTTACAAATATTTCATTCCTTCTAATAATATGCAGTCGTGGCCGAGTGGTTAAGGCGTTGGACTCGAAATCCAATGGGGTCTCCCCGCACAGGTTCGAATCCTGTCGGCTGCGTTTTTTTTTTTTTTTTTTTGTGCACGCGTGAGAATTTTTTTTTATCATTATTCCTTATAGTATATATATTATTTTATCATGAAACGAATTCCTTGTCAAATTGGCACTCAGTATTGGAGTTAATTTTGAAGAGCTATGTAACATAGTAAAATTTATTTCTTATAGATCAATAACCTACTGGCAAATTTCCATCTATATTGTGGGTTTAGAATTGTCCTGTCCACATTAACAGATGAACACCTCTATGGAAAATCCTGAAGATTTCATTGGAATTCTTGTGAATCACATAATTTCTAAGTTGAGAAAAAAGTTTGAATTTCATACTTTCAACAACAACAACTTTTATTCAAACCTCTGTAGCTTACAGAGATTGAGGGAAAAGAAAATTTAGTATCATATAGGGGACCTCCACCACCTGCGGAGGGATGTACTTGACATTGTCAGCTCGTCCCTGACACCTTCCATCTCCACCCCTACAAAGAAGCCGTAGATCTTGTATTTCGCCGCGGCGAGAATGGCATCCCTATTCAAACCCTGTCCTGAAGAGCCAGTCACGAAGGTCCAGAGTAGGGCTTCCAATCCCGGTACATATTTTCAATCCCGGGATTCGGGATTGCTTTTTTCTCAATCCCGGGATCCCGGGATATCCCGGGATTGAAAAACATTTTTGTCTTTCTACGCCAAGAGGTATATCGTTTCGTTTGTTATATTTTTAATTTTTTATTTTATATAGTGCCAATGACGTGGCACTTACTTCGATTAAAACAACCTGAAAGCCATATATTTTGCGCCTACTTATGAACTAAATCATTGCCTTTGGGTTACAGTTTGAAATTATCTATCAATTACTGGACACATATCTGGAAAAAAATTATGTTCTTGGAACTCTTAGACCACATCTCTTAATGCAGTGTTGGGCAGTAATCCATTCAAAGTAATACATTACCTTGTAATTACGATTACTTTGCAATGCATTACTTGCAAAAAACATAATTGATAAGATGTAAACAAATTACTGTAATCTTTATATTCGAGAGAGCGTAGAGATAGCAAT